ATAATAGAACAGAATAGAATAGAATAATATAATATAATATAATATAATATAATATAATATATAAAATATAATATATAATATATAATATATAATATATTATATATATAATATATATAATATACTGTATATAATACATTATATATAATATATTATGTATAATATATTATATATTATATATTATATATTATATGTTGTATATTATATATTATATTGTAGTATATTATACTAAATTGTAGTATATTATATGATATTAGATCAAGGCCATGCTTGAGATCAAGGCCATGCTTGGGATCCCCACGCTGCGGAGGCTCATAGCTCACGAGGGGCTTGGAGCCGAAGAGGGACACGATCTTGGCACACAGAGAGCAGGAGAAGCAAGGCTCCTCAAACAATGGCTTTAGGGTTTAGGGCTGATAGGGTTTAGGAATTATAGGGTTTATAGGATTTATAGGGTTTATAGGGTGCATGGGGCTTATAGCGTTTATAGGGTTTATAGGGCTTATAATATGGTTTATAGGGTTTAGGGTTTAGAAGTTTAGGGAACCCACTCAGAATCTGAAGTGCTGGGTGCGCAGCCATGTCGTTGAAGTTCACGCGTCCTCGCAGGCGAAATGACCAAGGAACAACGCCGTAGCTATGGCCAGTGGCTCGGGCGCAAAGCATTGAGCCTTCGCGCGCCGGATCTGCTTTCTTCATGATGTCAGCCATCTGCGGCGCAAAGCTCACAGCTCTCCACAGATGATGGAGTCTATGCGGCGCTAGAGAGCACCTGCTCCTCCTCCATTCCGTCTGGTCCGGACAGGACAAGCAAGACCTGGCCAGAGGTCCGCTCAAGTCGCCCAAACGTTGCGAAAGCGGCAAGTTGGAAAGCCGCTGGAGATGTCACAGCGGTTGTCGGCAAGCCGCTCTGCAATTCGTTTCACCTACACCTCTCTCGTCTGGGGCATGCGGCTTGCACGACAACTGCTGCCAGTTTTGTCCGCTCCCTGCTGCGATTGCACTGCTCTGATTGCAAATGCAAGCCGAGTGGACCCCTTTTGGTTGCAACTAGCAGGATCGAGCACCCGTCGTGTATCAAGCTTGTAAAGCCAGTGGCTGTGTTGAGCCAAAACTAGCCCACTCCAAGCCCCTGAAACCGGATTTCTGAAGCCTTCCAAAACACTTGCTTCCCGGCACCTCTCGCAGCTGCTTCGTGCTGATGTGGCCGGTGCCATCATCCTGTCTCTGAAGGCTCTGCCTAACTGCCGTAGCTGCGACCGGGATTTTAGGGATGGATTTGTAGAAATGCTAGTCATACTCTCGTCACAACACGCTTGGCCGGCTGACCTAAACGTAAACTATGCCTCCACATCCATGTCACACACTTCAAGAACTGCAGCAATACCTACCACGTAACTGCCTGCTACGAGTACTACTTCACCTCAGCCTTGGCCTTCTACGAGGCGGCGGGTAGGCCGCTACACTCTGTTACCAAGCTCCGCATACCACCTGCCTTGCCAAACCCAGACCCGAAACCCCAAACCAGGTAGCCCCAACCGCAAGGCAACAGCTCCCCACCTTCTCCTGGAAGAGCCGCATGAAGTCCTTGCACGCCGAAAGGCGACGAAGGCTCAATGGATCCATGTAAACGACTGGATTTCCGAGCCATGTACTAGTGCAGATGCAGTTGCTGCGACATGTTTCCTCTTGCTGTCAAGACAGCAAAACCCAAGAAGTCTTTTGGTACTGGTAACACATGGCCCCAAGTGTAACTTGCCAGCCTTCTCCAAGAGCTTTCGAAAAGCCTGGCAAAGCGGGAATGAGACGATCGTCTACCACATACATTGCACTATTGAGCCTCTGCAAGAGGGAGGAAGAGAGACACAGCATGATGGTGCAGTGTTCTATTCCGTTGCAGCCAACAGACAGCCCCCTGCAAGGCCCTACAATAGGTTAATGATGGAACTATCAAAATATTTTAATTTTAGTATGATGATTTATAGGAGGCCCTGGTCACCCCGTGATCTGTAGAACCTGAACTAGCCCCTTGCTAGCAGCTAGATGCTTCGCTCTGCGGGAGACCTGTATCTTGGGCATCATGTTGACAAAGTCGTCGTACGTGATCCTGTGGGAATGACCCTCAACAAACAAAACCACAAGCCCTGCGGTAGGTATGTGCATTGAGGAGTCTGTCCCACAAGCATCTGTCCTGTCAACATCCCTCACCTTGGCTCCGAGATCACGCTTGGGTTTGCTTGCCCTCTTGCTCTTTGCTGGCAAGCGGCCCCAGCGAAATAAAGCAAGTTCGATGCAGCCTCCACCTCAGCTCCATGAGATCTGCGGTGGGTTGCAGCCCCGGGCGCAGGACGGACTGCGGCTTCCATGCGCATCGTGCTGGAACCGCAAAGTTGAGTTGTAGACACTGGTGGCATAGCCCACATCCGACATGCCTGAGGCCGTAACGGCATCAGGTTTCTTGCACCGGATGCTGTGTTAATGACAGCTCCCAACAGCCATGAAGACAGTAATCCAGACCCACGAGACAGTGTCCAGCCTAACACTGCAGCAGCCTGAATGCCAAACGAAAATCCCCACTGTTGGGCCAAACGACCTCCACTTCCCAAGGATATCAACGAGGCAAGAGTCTACAGCAAAACAACTCCCGAATCCTCAAAAGTCACCGACTGCAAAGCCAGAGCGCGCTGGGCCAGCTCGATAGAACCCCAGCTGGTGTCCTGCTTCTCAGGGACCAGGCTGGGTCACGGGGGGGGCCTTCTCCGTCGCTTGCCAGGCAAGTGGGTAGTTCTCTAAATTAGGGTCCCTTTTAGGATCCTTTTCATAAGGGTGCCGTACTATATTGGGTGCCAAAAAGGGGAACAAACTAAAAAATCAAGTGATGGCTTGCAGCTCAGGATTGGAGGTCAGGGGTTGGCGTTTCTGATTCTGTCCTGCCCGAAATCCGACAGAAGAAACCCTCAGTCCCCAACCTAGTTCTAGGGATTGGACCTGATCACAACTCCGCAAGAGCCGGGAACAGGATCGGTCCTTATCTGCATCGAAGTAGTTGAAGAGCTCCTAGCCATCCATCCGCGCATTGGACGACGGGTGAATTAATGCCCGAAAGTTTTCCTCTTCTTGGTGCTTGGGAACGGTGTTCGAAAGCGGGAGTGTCTAGACTTGCATCAGCAGCTTTTATTGTCAAGTTTATCCCTGATGTAAACGCTCCTCTCCCTGATTAAGGACCATTATATCATGGATCCTTCTACTACGGTCCTGCAAGAAGGGTGAATGGAATCAGGAGTCTACGTTTCTCAAACGAGGGGTCATTCCCGCTAGCGATCCTCGAACTGGAGCCTCTCCACTTCACTGGCCTTGTCCAGGATCTTTGCTGCCTCCGAGGTGGCGGTGGCTCTTTCGCGATGGGAACCCAAGGGGAGTATGTATGTATGTATGTATGTATGCATGCATGCATGCATGTATGTATGTATGTACGTATGTACGTACGTACGTATGCATGTATGTATGTCTGTATGCATGTATGCGTGTGTATAATTATGTGTATGTGTATGTATGTATATATATATATATGCATAGACATATACATATATGGACATATACATACAGATATTTATGCATAAACAGATACAAATTCAGATTCAGATGTTGATGCCGATACAGATACAGACACAAACACAGACAGATGCATATGAACATACATATAAACCTTTCTACCTACCTACCTACCTACCTACCTACCTACCTACCTACCTACCGACGGACCGACCTACCTACCTACATGCGTGCGTACATACATACATACATACATACATACATACATACATACATACATACACACACATACATACATACATACATACATACATACATACATATAAACACACACAGAATGTACGTAGGTATGTATGTATGTACGTACGCATACTGTGTGCATGTGCGCGTGTGATGTCTGCTCTGAAAGTGATAGTGGTCATACGTATACACACGTCAACATGGCTTGCTTCTGCCATCGTCCATCAGCCGGCCCAGAAGACCCACACTCTCTGCGGAACCGGCCTTCTTTCTGACCCTCTCGTCCTTCGCGATGTGAGTTTTCGAATTCACGCTTTACCTTTATTTATAACTGTAGTGCTTTACAGGGTAGTAGGGCTTTAGGGTTTACCGTTTTCGACATGAGTCTGTTTACTTCAAGGCTGGGGGGGTTTTAGCCGTTTCGCGGTGTGGGAGTTGCTTTTTTCAAGCTTTTGCGACTTCAGGGTCTTGGGAGAGAGAAGCAGTTGAAGCAGAGCCCGACTCTTCTGGCGTCCTCCAGCTCGATCTCGCTCTTCTGGAGCTTGCTTGCCTTGCTTTTCTGCTTCTTCTTCTGAGCCTGTTCCAAGGAAAAGCATTTGGAAATCTCAGAGAATAGGGGACCCACACAAATTGGCACAGAAGACAGAATCCCCGACAAGCGAGACACCCCCATTTGGGAAGCTCTGGAGTTGACCCGAGCCGGCCCCTGGCCATGTGACGTGGGCGGATGGCCTTGTACTCCTTCGCTACTCTTGTGATCCGCTCGTCCTGGCTACCAGCCTGCACATCGTCGAGTTCAGAGGCTGACACACAATCATAGATATTCAGAAAAAAGAGCCTTCTTGCATACCTGTTGCATTTATGCATCCTGCAGGGACAAGCCGCCCATCAGCACTAGCTCGTCACCCACCTCTTTGGGCCTCTCGTCTATGGCACCTGAGCCCCAAGCAAAGTGCCGGGCATAGCAGGGACCAGCAAAACTAAGTGGTTTAGAGTTTAGGAAAGTAAGTGGAAAGTCCAGTAAGCTCTCTGGGACTGTGGATGGTGGATGTTAGGCGGTCCTAACCTGCATGACAGGAACTGTCGACTACAGTGAGAATGAGAAGCACTCGCTCGCGGCGACGCTAAGCACCCTGACACCCGGAAAAAACCCTAAACCCCTGAACCCTAAACTCCTCAACCCCCTAAAACCCTGCGCGGACCTCCAGAGGGAGTGTAGATGCCGTTCACACCCCGGCGCCCTTCTCGGGTTACCTCCTGAGCAAGCTCACAGCGAAGACTCTTCGCAGTCGTGGGCCTTAGGCTAACTTAGCCGCCTCAATAGCAGGAACCGGCTTCTGTTTGTAAAGGGTTTAGGGTTTAGGGGCTTCTGTTTACAAAGGGTTCGTTAAAGCTATATGGGAATGATGGGCTACAGGGCTTCAGGGGCATTCACATCTTCTTCAGGGGGCTTGGGGGTCCCGTGTCGTTGTATTTGCGTACTACAGGCATATCAGTAATAGTATACCATTAGTATACCATAGTATTCCCTTTTTCGTTACTGAACAAAGTTTAGTTTAAGATGTAAGGGAAACCGCAGTATGAATGTACAGTAGCTATAAATGCTATACTGCAACTATAGCATAAATATACTAATATTATAGCGACAGCTATACAACAAGTTTAAGGGAATACTACTGCTGATGATATAGATTATAGATCTTGCATTACCCATCATAAGGCATATACCCCATAGTTTAGGGTCCTGAAGGCAATGCAGGGTTTCTATCATCAACAGTATTGCTCTTTTGAGTCGGCCCAGTTGGCCGCAAGTCGGCCTTGAAAGCTCGCTTCAATTCGGTGTCTTCCAAGAGCACCGACTCCGCTTGCAGCCTGCAGCGGTTTAGGGTTTTGGGGCTTTTGGATGTAGGGTTTTCTTAGGGTTTTAGGATGTTTTAAGGCTCAGGGCTTGAGGACAGACTCGTAGCAGTCTGAGCAGTCTTAGCTAGCAACCCACCCGAGCTAAGCTCCACGCGCTGTCTTCTCGACGACTTCGTTGGGGTCATAGAGCTGGCAAAAACAGCAGTTGACATTGGGCCGGGGTAGGGCGGCTGCATGATAAGAGGAATAAAAGACTGTCTTGCTCTGGGTCATCAAGATACAAACGCGGACTACTCCGCGACATGGAACTCTGCACGCTTTGAATCAAGCCTGACAAAAGAGCCCGCGGCGCCGACATGAGTCGTCATTCCAACTTAGACTACCCGGCAAAGGGCCTGAGAGTGTCGGCGATTCGATGGCTTGTTCTTGTCGGCCATGCTTCAGACGGACATGGCACAGGGACAAAGGGATGCGCATCGATCGAGGGCGCAAGCGGCTAAGCCTTCCGAGGTCTACGTTGCTTCCTGCTTAGGGTTTTGGGCTCAGAAAAAAGAGAAGGAGGGCGAGACAGAGAATGCGAGCGTGAGTGAGTCTCAAGCTTAGCGGTCGCCCATGAAACGGAAGGAAGCTGTTGGATTGTTGCAATTGCTCTTGATTGCGACCTCTGCCATGCTATGCATGAGCTCGCAGATTTTGGTTGCATGATTGGACACTGGACACTGCGGACATGAACGTAGGCTGGCCTGTATCCCATGGCGCAACACATCTTTGAGCATGCTCACATTTGGGGCATCGGAGCCTTTGGCGGGTAGAAGTACCTCAGGCTTGTCCAACAGAATGCATGGTTCACCTACGTCGCCATTGCCGAACAGTGTCGTTACTACCTCGCTCAAGTGCAGCCAGCGAGCCAGCACCGTATCCGTTCTGCCTGTTAGTGCGCGAACATGCGCGAACAATGGAAAGTCAGGCACAGCAAAGTAGCCGAGGAGACCAGTAGCACAGTGCTGCAGCCTCGTCCATGTAGTTTTGCACCACACTGTCCGGCAGAGACCGCAGATATGACAGCAGCCTTGGCAAGTCTGTGCTGGCGCTGTCAGCATGCGACCCCCTCCATCTCAAGTCTCAGCATCCTCTCCGTGGCCTTTCATTCTCCAGCCAAGTCACTGCGGCCCAATCTGTGTCGAGGGCCACTTGATCACAAAGCGCGTAACATCCAGGAAATCCTGCGGTCTTTCTTGTGCTCAAGTCTATCAAATCAGACACCACTGCGACTGACTGAACCGCAGCTGTCCTCGAATGGCAACTCCCACTTGTCAGAGATCATCACCGGGATGCATCCGGCAAAGAGCACCTCCGACGGAGACTGGTCATAACCTGAATCTGTACAGATCACACCCAAATGGACGGCACCTCGAAGAAGCGCAGTGACCACCCAGACTTGCCTGCAAGCGGTACTCACGGAGTTTCACGACTGTAACATAAATTAACATAAGGGCCTTAATACTTCGAACAGTGCTTTTTTGGCACTCGAAGTATGATAAGGAATCCCCTCAAAAATTGTATTGACAATTCTATTTAAGCCCCTATCTTGAGGAGACAGAGGCTTCAGCAGAACCTAGGGATCAGACCAGGCTGCCGCGCCTCGGGGGACGAAGCAGAACCGGGAATCTCCATACGCTTCATGCATCACCTGGAGGGTTCCGCTAAGTTTAATTAGGGCCCCGAAACCCTAAACCCTAAACGTCAGGGTTTAGGGCCTTAGGGTATCTCTACCGCAAAAATTCTGAGAGGGTGGAAGAAAGCAGCATCAGCCTCCAAGGTAGCACCATCCCCGAACTTCAAGTCCTCAGTACCTGCACCACTTGGGCACACACCGGGGGCCATGGCTGGGTTGAGGGTTGAGGGGTTTGGAGAAGGCTCTCTCTTTTTGGGAATGACCGACCCCCATGGGTTCCGGTGACAGGAGGACAGTTTAGGGTGCAGGGCTTAGCTGACCTAGGTCCAGTGTTCGGGTGTTGTTTAGGGTCTAGGGTTCAGCGTTTAATCCATACCGCATACCCTTTTCTGGTTTGGGTTTGGGTCAGGTTCCCCATGAGCTCACACCTCTGGCTTTTCTCCCCGAGGCGATGCTTCCGGTCCGGCAGCCTCTGTGCTACGGTGATAGCAAAGACATCCGAGGTTGTTCTGACCGGTTTAGGGCTTTACGATCTTGGGATGATAGGGCCTATTTTAAGGAAGGATAGGTATTTTCAGACTTCTTTCATGGTTGCTCCACCTTGGGCTCCCATTTCAAGGTAGCGACGTAGCGACTCTCATACTTTTCACAGGAGCTTCCTGGGTCCAGGAAACCGAAGTATCAGAACAACCCGCACTAGAATCACTAGAACTCTGGCAGCTCCAGAGGCGCGAGCTGCAGACCTAAGCCACGGCACTTCTGCGCTTGCCTCTGCAACTCAGAACGACCACAACCTACCGGAACCTACGTTGTTGGTAGGATTTTCGTATACGTCCACAAGTTAGTGGAGTGTCTGTTTAAGGTAGCGTGGTACTAGTATTGCTCGTGTGTTCTACTACCCTAGCATGCCTTATCTGTCCATGATCTCGTATCTTCGTATTGTAAGGGCAGGATGACATAAGACTGCTGTACTGAGGGTTTCCTGGGTTTTCGATGGCTGTACAACTACTATTCTGCTGTTAGACGTTGCTTTTCGACCATTAAGCCGCTGAAGTCGCGCACCTCTGTGGCGCACTTGCTGCTTGTATCTAGAACTATGCGGCCCTGCTGTTGTAGCATGTTCTGTGCCTCTTGCTTCTTAGCTTAGAGCCCTAGTCCGCTCTGCTTGCGCTACCTTAGTAGAACCTGTTATTTTGTTCCTTGGCCTTGAAAACACAAACCTCTTGCCAGGTACTAGCAGAAAATTACCCAGATCTTCCAAGGTCCGGGCGCCACCAAAGTCCAGGCCTCACCACGAGGGTCTCAAGTCTGGGAAGATAACATAGTACTGTAGTCAGTTGATACGCTACCAGGAAGCACTCTAGCTTGTTCGCGAAGACTTCCGGTTATTCGCGTGGCTGACCGCAAACCAGGCTAAAACCATATCGGGTTTTAAGGCCACGATGTTTACATTTTGGGGGAATCCTTATTATTTGCAGTTATGAGTAGCACACCCAGAACCAGGCTCCATGCTCCAGTAGGCCGAGGGTCGGGAGCTGCGATGCTGGTTATCGTCGAGACCAACAAACATTGCCGGAGACGGTTAGAACAGACCACCACATAGCCACATAACTCTACTGGAGGTGGCAGTGTTGGTGGCATTACCAACACAGCACAATATCGGACTATAGTCACAGTAACAAATAACGCATGCGAACACAATCATGACAGGTTCTGCGTTCATGCCGGTTCTGCGTTCATGCCGTTTCTAGTGGCCGCATAGAGATAGCAGATGGGATTTCCCGGGGCCCTGGCAATCCAGGCGATGGTGAGAAGCCATGCGATGAGAGAGTCTCCTCCAGAAAATGACTCTGCTGGCATGCACGACTCGTGACATTGGCTGCCTGCCATGGCCTTGGATATCGTACCCACTGGCTCGGATCGAGAGAGGAGAGGGAGGGGATGAAGGAGAGGGAGAGGGAGGCAGAGGGAGAGGGAGGTCCTACAACCGACCGGGCCGAAGCCTGACAAAGAGCCTTTCAGCTGCCCAAGAGGCTGACCTGCGCGGTCGGTCTCGCCGCAGGGCGAGCAAAGCTGATCCTGGCCATTCTCCAGCCTAATTACCTACCTACATTACGCGCACATGCACACACACACACAAAAAAAAAAGCTATCAGCTCCAACATGGCCAGCCCAAGGCAGCCGCCACGACGTACCATTGAGCTTCAAGACACCCGATTGCGTTAGGGAGTTTAGCGCGGATGGCTTCGGGTTTACTGTAATCGGGTAATTACTGATAGCGCAAAGAGTGAGAGTGAGAAACGGTGGGAAGAGTGCCTGCAATCCCTGAATTAAATACAGTGTTAGACACGGAGACGACGGTGCCATAGGATGATCCCACCTCAATCTGGCTGCGCAGGAAGCTGATCCCACCTGGTGCCTGGACAGAATTTGCGGTTGCCATGCAGCCCACGTGTCGTGTGTTCGCACTCTTAGCGGTCCGCAAGAGACAAGCATTTCGATTAGCATCAGCATGAAACGCCGCTTTGGTGCGTCAACATCCGACACCGTCGTGCTGGCATGCTTGTGATTGATTTCGCTCCTACCAGTCTTTTCACGACTCAATCTAGATTCTAGATGTGACCGCTGCCTGGAACTCAGCACTGCGATACTGCTTCCGTTTAGCATGTAGTAGACCCGGAAACGGTTACCCAATCTCATCAACCGGTGATGTTCGATTTATGAGCATGGTAGCTTTCATTGTATTCACGCACAACCATCTGAAAATACATTGTTGCATCAATGAATTGTTCTAGGACTGTGACTGTATCCTTGCCATCACTTGACATGCTGGTATCAGCAGAATGTTGAATGCTTGTTGTATATAGATACGAACACAGTAGTCAATAGTCTTCAGGGGACTCTTTTGGAGAAAAACGTTGATGTTTTTCTTTACTGTCTCTGTCTAGAGTCTGAATGCGATCCCGGCGCAGGCAGAGAAACTTCTCGATCTGCTTTTCCAGCTCCTTCCGCCTTGTCAAATTTGGGCTCAATGACAGCATCCAAGCTGGAAGATGCCGAAATCTATGGTTAAGGTTCGACTTGTGCGCCTACCCCAACTCCAAATCATTTTCAACTCGTCCAAATCCTACTTATATATACCCCTAGACCCCGAAACCCGCAAAGCCCGCAAAACCCGTAAAGCCTTAAACCCCTAAAGCGCCGAAACCGCAAAACTCCACATCGGAGCCGCGCTACGAGGCGCTGCCCTCCGCCCAGAGCTCTCGCCGAGCCCGCTCGAGCAGGCGCTCTGCCTGGTACAGGAAGCAGCTCTTCAAAAGGGTTCCTTCTGCAATCCCTTTAAGACCCTTTTAACGGTAGGAAGAGGGGGTCGGGTTCCTCCTTCAAGGGCTCCAGTAAGAGTTCCTTTAAGGGTTCCTCCTTTGAGGGTTCCTGTGAGAGTTCCTTTCAGGGTTCCACATTGGGGCGATAGTGTTTAGGGCTTCATGGGTGTAGCATGGGGCTTGAGGGCTCACGTCCTACTGTGCTGCTTATGGCGGCTCCTAACCTTCAGGCGCATCTTGGAGCCCGCCATTCAATAATGTAATACAGTATACCACAATCTAACCTAATCGAACCATTCAGTCAAGTTTAATCATATGTAATACTATAATGTAGGCTACTAACTATGCAACATAAAGTATACATAATACACTACCAACACCAAAAAACACACACACACACCCGCGCGCGCGCACGCACCCTCGGACCAAGAAGCCTCCCGCTCACGCAGGTGGAGTCCGCTTTGATCCGGAGGGAGCGACCAGAACCTCTGGCTTTCTCTCAGCTTTAGACTGAGCTGAGGGTTTATGGTTTACTGTAGGGCCAGGGTTTAGGGTTTAGGGAACCTGAGTGTCCGTGATGTGGCTCGGTGTGACGCGCTGTCTTGAGTACTTGGATGGGTGTGAGTCGAAGCCTTCGGTTGAAATCAGTGTGTATAGCTTGGTCGCAGAGGTTTCAAGCCTTTGGAGACTCTGGGATCCAGGCCACCATCATGCCTATGTCTTCCGGCGTCGTACAACTGACGACTTAGAGATTTGCATTTCCCCTGGCCGCTGGTGGCACTGTATAAGCTGCAAAGGGTTTCTGAGAATTCCTGCCCTTGTCACAACAATGACATTGGCTCCTTGTCAGCATCAGCGCCACCATTGCCAACTGCTTCATCTTCAGTCATGCCAGCAACCTGAACTTTCGTCGCATTATTGTCATCACCCTTCTTCGGCAATACCAAAGCCCCCCAAAAGGCAGCCTCATCAACAAACGTGAAGACCAGTCCCAGAACACAAGAAGCTCTCAGTGGCCGGCCCTCGCTGAAGAGATGTGGTGATGTCCTGAAGAAGATCATGGACGAGCAACAACGGTAGCCCAGTGCAATACAAGACCTCCACTTTGAATCATCGAACTCTGAGGAATTCTTCATATACCCGACCCATCCCGACCTTATCACATCCTATTGCCATGACGACGCAGATACCTGTTCCGAGATCTGCCGGCTGCTGGTGTGGCGAGCGAGCACCTGCGGCAAATGCTAGTTTCTTGTAAGACCTCAGCTTCTTACTTAGACGTACTGCAGGGCCATCTCAGAATCCCTTCCGCACTACTCTCCCATCCCACAGCCTTCCGAACACCTAATGCGCACACGAGTTTCAAGCCGTGAGTCTGACCCTGTCCATGAACACCGGCGTTCTTCGTCAGAGTAGAGCTAGAATACCCTGAGCAAGATGAGAACTGGTTGCGCTAGTAGGACCAGCATGACATGTGTCGTAGGGTAGTTTTTGTACGGCAAAGCCCTAACAGCAAGCTGGTGAGCGAACTGCCGCTTGACATGCATCGTAATGCGAGTTTGAGAGCGCGCAGAGAATGCACTGCTGAGGAAGGAGATGAAAACAAAGATAATTCATCTCCCTGTCCCTCTCGTCCTCGTCGTCCTCGTTGTGACAGGAGTCACAGTCATCGTGGTCGTCGTGCTAGTA